ACTGGTCGCTATGACGTGCACTGACCACCAGGGGGCAAACGCTCAATGCAGGAGCTGCCCCTTGGTGGTCAGTGCACTCCCACAAGGGGAGCGCCGCTCAGTCAGAAGCCAGGCTCACGGCTGGCGAGCACAGCAGCGCTGGTGGGAGCCTCTCCTGCCTCAGTGGCAGTGCTAAGGACCCCTTCGGGGATGTCTGCCTGTGGGGAGCAGGCCTAAGCCAGCAGGTGGACATTCCCCGAGGGGTCCTGGATTACGAGAGGGCACAGGCCAGGCTGAGGGATTCCCTGCCCCCCTGTGCACAAATGTCGTGCACCGGGCCTCTAGTTTCTTAAATAAAACAAAACAAAAGAAAAAGTCAGGAACACTGACATTTTTAAAAGGATGATAAAATTTGACTTCATTAAAATTTTAAACATGTATTCTTCAAGAAGACCCAGTAAGAGAGATAAATAGATAACCCACAGATTTGGGGAAACTCATCAAAATTTATATTTAGAAATATAAATACTCTTACAATTAAAAATAAAAAGGACATCCCAATAGAATTATGAACAAAAGTCTTGAAAAGGCACTTCACAAAGGAAGATATTGAAATGGCTAATAAAAATATGAAAAAAATGTTCAGTTTTTTTAGTCATCAGGACATACAAATTAAAACCACAGTGTGATATCACTAAAGACATCATTCTGGCTAGAATGAAAAATACACGAATACCAAGTACTGCTGAGGATGTGGATCAACACATCTCTCATGTACTACTGTTGGAAATATAAATTGGTACAACCATTTAAAAAATTGTTTGGCATTATCTACCTGAATCCTATACTCCCAGTAATTCCACTCCTGTGTATATATACCAACAGAAATGTACAAAAGATAAGTTCAAGAATGTTTCTAGAAGCACTATTTCGAATAGCCTCACACCGTAACCTACTTGAATGCTCATCAACCAGAGAATTGGAAAAATAAGTAAATAGAATATTGTTTGGCAAGGGGAATGAACCAAAAATTTAATGGAACAATGTGTTTTCATCTCACAAACACAATTTGACTTTTTTTAAAAAAAATATATCTTATTGATTTTTTTACAGAGAGGAAGGGAAAGGAATAGAAAGTTAGAAACATGGATGAGAGAGAAACATCGATCAGCTGCCTTCTGCACACCCCCTACTGGGGATGTGCCCGCAACCAAGGCACATGCCCCCGACCGGAATCGAACCTGGGACCCTTGAGTCTGTAGGCCGATGCTCTATCCACTGAGCCAAACCAGTCAGGGCCACAATTTGACTTTAAAAAGCCAGATTCAAATGAGTACATAGTGTATGATTCAAGTACAAAATTAGATAAGACTAATCTGTTGTGTTAGCTGTCAAGTTAGTGGTTAATATGGTGCTTAAAAGTTGGAAGAGGGTGTGAGGGAGGGGTATGGGATACTGATAAGTTTCTTATTCTAAGTGCTGATTACATAGGTTCCATTGTTGAAAATTGAGCAGAACACTCATTTTGTGCTCTTTTTTGTATATTGTTATGCTTTTAACAGAAAGAAAGAACCATGTTTCCATGCTCCTGTTGATTAGTTAATTAATTTTCTTAGATTCCTATTCTCATGGACCTTTTTATAGGTTCTAGGAGAGCCTTGGTGCACTCTGACCTGGAAGCGTTTCTTTTGTCATTCAACTCTGTCCATGCCCCTTGTTCCATTTTTCATAACCCAGCTCAGCTGTCCCACTAATGCAAAATAGGAGCTCATAAGTGGGGCTGCCCTTCCAGAGTCTTTCTGGGAGCAAGAACAGTGGTTAAGAGTTAGGGGCTTGAATGGGCTTTCCTGATGAGACACAGATCACAATAAAAAATGAATTAAAAAGTGAACTACAATGTTAAAGTGACAAGGCAGAGTTAGGTCTTGAGGTGCTGCCTAGCTTGAAATACATATTTTTAAATGAGTAGAAATCCAAAGAAGCTGCCTATGGAAAATAAGAACTTGATTTTGGCAGTAGGATGACAGGCTGTGAAAGAAATTCAGGTTTTCAAGAATCATGCAACTTAGAATCAACTACATACAACGCTGCAAAAAAAAACAACAAAAAAAACAAAAACCAAAACATTTTACAAAATGATCTTCACATGTTTATAGAGAAAATTGATACAGTTTTGACATGCTTACACTTTAATTGAAGATTAAGTTAGGCTAATTACTGAAATAAATAAGAGTTTGCCTTTCCACCTTGGAGTCCTTGTTTTCTTCCTTTCTCTCAGGCTCTGCCTTCCCACATTCAATTCCAAAACAGATTGTCAGGCATTGCATACACAGTATGTCCAGAATCGGGCCTCTTCCACTGCTATTACCTCTGATCCTGGTCCAAATCACTTGCCTTTCTCACCTGGGTTGCGGCCAGAGCCTCCTATCTACTGTCTGCACTTCTAACCTTTCAGTGCCAGAGGCAGAGCTGATCCTTTCAAAAGTGGATCAACATCAGATCTCTTCTAGTCTTGAAAGGCCTCAATGGTTTCTCATTAAACCCAGTGGGAAAGTCAAATTCCTACAGGGGTTCACCTGACCTCACCATATTTCACAACCCACCATCCACCCTTCAGGAAGTGCTCTTGGTTGACTCTGTTAGGTCACTGCTCAAATACCATTTTGCCATTGAGGCATTCCCTGATCAGTTTATTTATATGGAATCCCATCCCTCTTACTGGGACCCACTTTTGCTTCTTTCTTTTTCTCTAGCGAGATGAACACCATCTATCATAGTATGTTATTATTTATATTGTTGATCTTTCTTCCCCTATTACAGTGATGGTGAACCTATGACACGCATGTCAGAGGTGACACGCGTGTCAGAGGTGACACGCGAACTCATTTTTTTCGTTGATTTTTCTTTGTTAAATGGCATTTAAATATATAAAATAAATATCAAAAATATAAATCTTTGTTTCACTATGGTTGCAAATATCAACAAATTTCTATATGTGACACGGCACCAGAGTTAAGTTAGGGTTTTTAAAATGCTGACACGCCGAGCTCAAAAGGTTCGCCATCACTGCCCTATTAGAAGATGAGTTCTATGAGGGCAGGGATTTTTGTCTTTTGGATCACTTCTGA